ATGGTTATGGATTCATTCCTTTTTTGCTTTCTACTTTTAATTTCTTCGAAGAGATTATCATTATAATCTGGGTGTAAAAAAGCAGATTTGAGTAGGGCTACCAACTCATCCCAACTATTAATTTTATCTCTAACACTCCTATACCAAATAGCAGCATTACCTTCAAATAACTCAATAGCTGAGCGAAACAGGATGTCTTCGGAAATATTCCGAGACCTAGCAGAATCTTTAACTTTCTCTAAAAATGTGGGAAGAGCTTTACTCTCACCATTAAACTTAATATGTAGATCAGAAATAATGACAGGAGTTGAAACCTGTATTATTGGGGTTGGGACTGTACAACTGGGAACTACAGGGACTGAAACTGGGCTACTAGTGGATGGTTTTACTATATCATCAAACATTTCCTCTTTTTCTAACACATTACCCTTCAACACTAACAAATCATCTTTACACTCTTCAACAAACTTTAATACATCTTCCTCAACATCATTCATAGGGAAATTTTCTAATCTGGTATCTAAATGTGTAGACCTTGTCTCAAATCTAGCAAAATCAGCCTTATTTGATTCTACATTTATTGATTGAGCACAACTATATAAATCTTTTATAATCAACATGATCTCATTCAACTCTTCTTTAGGATCTACTACATTATTAACCAAATCGACTAAACTTGAAGACAAAGTGGCTTCCTTGGCCAACAAAGCTCTTAACATCTTTCTCTTATCATCAACTGTCTTATTTGGGACATTTTTACCTCTTATGAAAAGCTCATAAGATAACTCTCCTGATTTCAAATGATTAACCTGAGTGGACTTCATTTTTCAAAAATTGGATGAAAACAAACACACAAAATAACTAAAATCAACTTCAACAACTGGTAGAAAATATGACAATTTTAAGAAACAACCGTTTCCATTTATCACCTGATAGTAAGTCTCACTTGCACTCCCGCGTACTGAAATCCAAAACTCAATCAGTTTGCTGCAACTTCTGCTCTTGACTTAGTAATCAGTTGGTAAACAAAAAATGAGGTCTTTAACCTGTCTCCTAAAAGTTCACACTTCCACTAACAAGGACTAAAAAAAATGGTTTCAAACAACATGGGACAACATGGACACTAACAAGCAGCATAAACCGTACATACAAGGAAAGACAAAATACTAATAATATTGAAAACTTGACCTTTGAGTGAGCTACACTAAATAACACCAAAATAAACCAACTCTTGTTCCGAAAACTAAATGAGACTGCTCCTAGTCAAAACTAAAACAGCATCTCCTGATCACAAATATTACACCTGTGATCATTCAGATACAAGAAAGGATACACAATAAACAGTCTACTACTGAGACTAAACTTGTCGAATCTTCTCTACGACTCACAATGACTACCCCTCGTACAACAACATTAATTAACCCTTGGCATTTAAATACACCTTCAGAGACGGTTAATTAGAAGACAAACTGCATAATACTACTTCTCAACTACATAGCTCAAAAGTCACTCAAACGAATACACACATTTACTCAAAATGACCCAACAAATAAAAAATTACAAAAACCGATTATTCTGTAAAATTTGTCGAATCAATAAAAAAATAAATGTAACAGTAACTGTATAATTTGCTACTGTTTTTAAATTCTTTTCAATATCAATACCTCAATTAAAACTCATATTTAAATATTTAACTCAAATATTTGCTTTCATTTACCATTACATATATGAAGAACAATACATATGTCACTATAAGTACATTACCTGAAAAAACAACAATACATAATGTTGGTACAAAATACATACATTGTAATACAAATACACTACTGTTTGTGAGACACTTTGGGGCACTATTCAAAAGGAAAAAGTTTCATATAAATGGGTTGGGAAAAATGAATCAAAATCTAAAAAAAAATGGAAATATTCAAATGCCCCACCGATTGGGCGACAAAATTGTAACGACTATTTTGCTTACCACAGGGTAAGAATATGGGGGACAAGATTGGGCAAACAAAATAATCGAAACAAGTGCATACGACACTCAGTTGGTTGTTGGAGAGCTGGGTCGTGGATAAGTTGAAGATATTGGGGGTTAGATTGGGGCAACTACAAAAAAAAGAAATAAAGGGATACTTGTACAAATCTCTTGGGACAAACAGAATGAAAATAATCGAAAACACCTCAAGAAATTTAATATAGGGCGCCACTTGAGGTGCCCAATTATACCTATTACAACCACTAGTTGTAACTAGGGAAATAATTGTATATCAAAAATATAGAAAAAAAAATATCTTTTTTAAATAAAACTCAAAATAGATCAGAGAAACAAATTAAACATTTATTTTTGTCTCACCAAACAGTTTTCAAAAATACAGCTTATACAAAGGCATATTAAATAAAATTAGCTGTCAAATACAAATGAAAAAAACTTACATATCTGTTTACAAAAGGTTACAAAACTCTTCGAAACGGTTCTTAGTAAATAATTTAAAAAATAATTTATAAAAGAAAGCAAATTTTGTCTTTTTAAAAGAAAATGTCTATTTTTACTTTAAAAATTAATAACGTAAATGTTACCTCAGTTCACACATCTTAACTTAAACTTTTGAACAACTGGCTAACTTCTGCGGGGTATCTAACTGCACATCAACGGAAAGCTTTATTGGAAGCTGAAACTGGCACATCCAAATCAAAACTGCTCCAATATTATTCTACATGAGGTGAAAAGGGCATCTCGGGAAGGAACTGGATTTCTCAAAAAAAACGAAAAACAAACAGGAACTAAACTTGTTCACTGCTCAAACATCATAAATCTTCAGCCAAAATAAAAACAGTGGTTACTGGTCACTCTTTCAGAAACGACATATTAGAGTGAAAATTCCACCATTTTGGCGAATGAATGCCGGCTTACAACATCACAATTAAACAACTTTTTTCTTCGAGAAGTTCTTCATCACTTCCTCTCAAATCTTTTACTCCATTCCCACATGTCTGCCCCGCTTGGAACTTAAATCTCGACTCTTTATCACATGTCTGCCCCGCTTGAAACTTAAATGTCGACTCTGTTTCAAATCTTTTACTCCATTCTCACATGTCTGCCCCGCTTGGAATCTAAAAGTCGACTCCTTATCAAATCAAATCTTGGTCTCAATTGTCCATGTCTGCCCCGTTTGGAACTCAAATCTCGACTCCTTCGTCACATGTCTTCCCTGTTTGAAACTTAAATCTCGACTTCTTCACTCTACATTGTAGCACGTCTGCCCTGCTTGGAACTTAAATGTCGACTCCTTATCACATGTCTGCCCCGCTTGGAATCTAAATCTCGACTTTTATTGTCACATGTCTGCCCTGTCTGGAACTTAAATCTCGAATCCTTTCGTCACATGTCTTCCCTGTTTGAAACTTAAATCTCGACTTTCTTGCTTCGTTACATTTTACCAGAATCTAGCCAAAAATTTCCCTTCCGTCTTGCAGCTAACCTGTCCCCCAAACTCAAGAACCAAAACAATATCCCCTCGCTTGTATCGACAAAAAAAACAAATTTTAAATGTTCCTTTATTGCCTAAACAAACAAATATTCTTTTTTTTGACCCTCGACTAATAACGAAAAACAACTTTAATATTAGGGGAATTCATGGTTTATTGCGTTTTAACATAATACCTCTTTGGCGACAAAAAACTTGTTATTTTACCTACATTGCAACACAGAGATAAAAACATATTTCCAGCGTTAATACGCATCTAAAAATCTCGTCAAAAAAACTTGAAATATTTACAACGTACGTACATTTAACTTTATTGATCGATTTTCTTTGTAGAAACAACAGGGACGTACCATAGAAATATTTTATATGCACAATAAATAAAAAAAAAAACGCTACAATTTTAACAAATTTTCAACATATTTTTCTACCATCAGATATTTTTCTATCAAAAATGAATATCAATTTTACATTTTAATTTCGGTCACCGAGAAATATTAATTTCGAATGGAGAAAAAGAAGACACAATTTTTTTTGTAAAATCAGGTTATAGCATAGTTATAGCATATTTAGAAATCCGTGAAGAAAAGAAACTTTTTCAATTTTAGATTAGCGGTAAATTACGGACTTTTTAAATTAGGATTTTATTTGCCAATTAATAGCAGATAAAGGTATTTTTTGAACTCAAAATGAACTTTTTGAATTTATATATATATATATATATATATATATATATATATATATATATATATATATATAATATATATATATATATATATATATATATATATATATATATATAAAACTTAGGACTAAGATTAATATTATTACAAGAACTAATATTAAACTCAACAGTCTTCCGAGTTGAACCGCGTCGATTATCATTGCTCCATGCTTTCGACATCCTTTTCGATCTCTTCTTAGGTGCTTCCGAGGTCTCAGTCTCCTAATCCCACAGGTACTACTACACTGATTACTAACTAATACATTACTGGTACTGGGAATAGAGGACGGTTGATTTATACCAACCTATAAAGTCTGGTGCTGTGTTATGCGTTGCATAGTCGTTAGATAAAATAGTAATTAAAGGTGAAGAAAAATTGATAATTAGTTAATTATGACAAGATTTCACTGGTGTTCACACAGCTTAGATGTTTAATAATAATAGAAAATAAAAAAAATATCTTTACATAAATCTGATTTTAACAAATTTATTAATTTTATTTAATTTGAACATACTGTATGAATATTTTTCATTTTTGTTAGTCTATATAATTCAATGTCTAAATTATTCAGTTGCACTTTAGTGGATGTGGAAAAACAAATATAAATCAGAATGGTCATCGTCATTTCCTGGAATTTAGTGTCTACATTTTTGACACTTATCTATACTTACTACTTAACTATAATATATTTAATAACATGGAAAAGTCTCTGTATAAAAATGTTTAAAATAATGATCAAGAAAAGGACATTATAAATCAGTGAATATGTTAATCTATATATGCATATACTTACTTGCGTATTTCAGTTTAGCAACACGACACAACTCCTTTCTATAAAATCTTACTGTCATATTTCTTGTCATTTTTTGATTATACATGAGATCATCAAAGGATCCCTGAACAAGTTCACACTCCCGGAGGCCGGGCACGAATTTAGAACCATCATATTTGTCTATTCGGAAAAAGTCCTTTTGAGTAAAAGTTGGGCCAATGTAGACGGTTACATTATCTTCATACTTCTCATATATCTAAAAAGGTATTATATACTTACTATATAATTTGACCTTAAAATTCTTTGTTCAATTTTTGACAAAACATATTTAGCTTTTAAGCAAAAAAATAAACTATATTAACGGGTATTTTTTATTTCTTTATTACATCATCAAAAATTACATAATACAATAACTTTAAACCAGACAAATAAAAAAATTCCTGATGTTTTTTTTATTGTCTCACAGCCGGTTATATTTCGGTTCCTCAGGTCATCAACAATTTTGACTGAGGTGGAATAAACTAAGAAAACCCAAAAATGAAAAAATTAAGAACATTTTGATTTTTAAAAAAGAATAAGTAGGAGTTCCTGTACAAAATATAGGTAAAATTTTCTTGTTTGTCGTTGTGGTATAAAATACAGACCAAAAGAATTAGGAATTTGAGTGATTTCATGAAGTATCTATAGGGAAAAAAATTAAATATGGAAATGTTGTCTATCAGATTCCCTGTTCTGAATGCAACTCCTGCTACATTGGCCAGACCAGTCGATCACTTCTAGGGCGTATAATTTCACATAAAAGAGACATTAGAGTTTCCAAACCCTCTTGTGCCTTTGCACAACACGCCATTTCCACCAAACATCACATTGACTTCTTAAATACTAAAATACTGGCGAAACAAAATAATCATCAGAAACGCTCCTTTATTGAAATGTGTGAGATCCTCAAAAATCCATCTGCAATAAACAAAAGAACCGACATCGACAATTTGAGCCAGGTTTACCACTATCTCATCTTACGAAATAAATAATACCAATTATTCATCATTTAAAATAGCCTTATTTTCCATTCAAAATAATAACACTATCATCATAATATATCTCTAAGTTTCATTAAAACATAAATTACAAAAAAAATATATCATAATTTTTCCGCCATACAAATCCACCCGTCCAACTAATTATTCAATGACCCCCGTAGAAGTTCATAATTGTCTCAAACCTTGGAATTTGTTGAACATACAGCCCTTAACCATTTTCGGTATCGCGTCACGTCGTTTGCATAAATTGCAATGGATTGCAATAAATCAGTGTCAGAGAAATATGAACACAGAGAAGCGAGACAACCGCTGAAAAATGGGTACCGTTTTTGTATACGCATGCCCGATCCTGGTTGCTTTACTGTCAAAAACACGTGCTTATTCTTCAACTCTGGTTGTTTTACGATAGTCCGTAGGCGCCTGTGGTAAATACTCGACTATACAAGTGCATTTGACCATTTATCTAATTTACTTAGTAGTTAAAAGTTTATAGTTATAGTTAAAATATATAAGTTAAATATATAAGTTTATAGTTAAAAGTTTAATTTATATTTAAAATGTCTTCTGGATATTGTTGTGCGTTTTGTGCATGTTCATCTGTGACAGGAAAAGAATAAGTTTATTTAGATTTCCTAAGAATAATAACAGGTAATTACTATAGCTTGGTAATTATTATTAGTTATTACATAATAGTATTAGTTTGACTTTCGAACAGTAAGCCGACGCCGACGTGTCCGTCCGAGCTCTCGTTAAGTGGAGCAATAAAAAAATAAACCTTGGTCTGCCAAGGGATAGTTCAAATTGAAAACATTAAATTTAATATCTCCGAAGGCCCAGGTCAAAAAATCAACAGATGTTGGCCTGGTGTCAGCGCGCTGGAAGACAACAATACGAATATAGTATTTTTAGGAAATAAAAATATATAGAGGGTTTTATACACGAGAATATTTGATTTAAACGAAACAAAGAAATTTCTAAAATGCTCAAACTAAAAATTATGAAAAAACTAAATACTCATCTACTTTTTGCTATAAGTATACAAAAGTTGTCTGACAATGTTTAATTCGTTAAATATAAATAACAAAGATCAAATTTATGAATCGGAGTACACCAAATATTTAGGAGTTTAAATGGAAATTACCAATAAAAAATATTAAAACTTTTTTGTATACCTCAATATTTAGTGACAATTTTGTGACTTAATCAGGAGAAAACAGAAAAGTAATTAAAGTAATTAAGATGAGATATTGACAAAAGTTAAATATTTCATTACTTACAATATACTTAGAATATACTAATACTCTTATAGTTGTAAGTAATAAAGTATTTTTTATAAATACAGAAAAAGCTCTTTGTTTAAAATTTGTTTTGTTAAAAATGTATAGTGCCAAAATGTGGATCGAAGCTTGCAGACGAGAAGATTTATTATTAAAAATGGATTTACTTTATCATAGTTTTATATAATAGTACTTATATAATATATATATATATATATATATATATATATATATATATATATATATATATATATATATATATAGTTTTATATTCTGTCATTTGCTTATTACCAAGACTTGCTTTCAACAACACTGTTAATTAATGTTTGCAGATCTTCTGGAGCAGAAGCCAGGAGTACTGTATCGTCCGCATATCGCAAATTATTTATGAAGTCACTGTTCATAATTATTCCTTCTTGTTTTTCAGAAAGTGCATTTCTGAACATTCTTTTGGAGTAAACGGCGATGTGATTCCAAACCGTCTACTAAAACTTATGTTTCATTCCAATACAAATTTGCAATTATGCGAACGTCTCTACCATCTAAACCAATGTTTCTTAGAACTTCGATCAATATAGAGTACTTAATACGATCAAATGCCTTTCGGAAGTCAATAAAATAAAAAAAAAATCATGGGCGTACAACAGTACGCTCAATGAAAATATGTAATCCACCATTTTGTTGGCGGCCATTTTCAATTTTCTATAATGAACTCTTTTCTACTAGTCAAGCCCTTTTATTTGATACCCATATTGCAGTAGTTGTAATGCGCTATTGTGTAGCGGCGTCCATCTTGTATATACAAGATAGTGAATGTATGTAGTGTATGTATAGTCGATTCACTAATCTCAGACACAACTATCTAGTATTTCAGTAATTATTTTATTGCGAAAGTTACTTACATTTTAAAAAAGTAGAAGTGGATGATAGGTACTATAATTTTGTAAATTATATTTACAACCAAAAACAAATGCTCATAGCCAATATTAAGAGTAAACAGACATAAATGTTACTCCAATCAATCATTATTTATTTACACCATAATATAATTACACAACAGACAACGGAAGATTTGACCAATTATTTAAAGGTAAATGCTCCAAATATACATTTCTACTTCAAGAAGTTAAAGGTTACGGAGTACAAAGCAAGCTTTAAAGTTTCATATCCATTGTATTATAAAAATGAAGTTCTCAATCCCAGTATCTGGCCTGAAGGTTCAATGGTTCGTCGTTTTGACTTCAAGTATAAGAATTGTAGTAACCGCAGTTATCAACAAAATCAGAAATAATTGTTACAAATCCGGCTTAGGCAAACTAGATACTACAAATAATTTTAAAGGTAATACCAATCAACTAAACATCGTATATATTAACTCTGAATCTATTGTAAACAAAATAAATTGTATCGAAAGTCTGGATTTACTATGTATAATGCGAATAATGGTGTAATGACAATAATATAAATTCTTTTTATCTTCCTAATGCTCTCTTGTAATGATTCGTAATACTTTTTTGATTATTTTTTAGGCTATTACATTTTTATATTTATAGAAATATACTCATACAATGGTTACTTCTTGATTTTTTATTCGTTTTAGTCGAATATCATTTACCATTACATTACCAATCAATTTCAACATAAAGTTTCTTGTTGTCGATCACAAACATTTGTCACTTTGTTGTCGATCTTGTTGTCGATCACAAACGTTTCACATTTGGCTTTGACAAAGATAATTTATTAGAAAATTCCACGACGAACAAATTATATCTTGTATCAACACAAGCCAAGAAGAATCGGTGTATTATTGATCTATCAATGCCAACAAGCTGTTATTTACATATGCAAATGATATAGATCTCGTTGGAGACTTCATCCTATCCAAGAAAGACATTTTCAACAAGGTAGAAGAATCAACAAGTGAAGTAGGGCTGAAGGTTAATAAAGAGAAGACGAAATATATCTGTATAAATAGAACGACACGAAGAGACAGAATGGGACAAAATGTGACAATGAACACCTTCAATTTCGAAAGAGTACAACGTTTTAAGTATCTGGGGGCCGTAATCATAGCTGACAACGAAATCACTGAAGAAGTAAAAGACAGAATCCAATCTGCAAACCGCTGTCTATTTATACTGGATAAGCTCATAAAACCAAAAAATCTCACAAGAAATTCAAAGATCAAAATCTATAAATCTATCGTCAGACCTGTAATAACATACGGATACGAAATATGGACCATGACCAAAGCCAACGAAGAAAAGCTCAGAAGCTTTGAACGAAAAATACTACAAAATTTTCGGACCTCACCATGACATCACCACAAACCAGTATAAGATCAGAAGCAATATCGAATTAAAAGCACTCTACAACGACGCCGATATTGTCCAAGAAATTAAATCACAGCGACTAAGATGGGCAGGCCACGTGCACAGACTGCATAACGAAAGACTTGTGAAACTGGTATGGGAGGAGATTCCCACAGGCAAAAGACCACTCGGACGTCCCAGAATGTGATGGAGAGATAACATCCAAGCAGATCTCCGGAAAATAAACATTCTATTTGACCCTAGGTTGATGGAAGACCGAACAAAGTGGAAAAAAGTTATACAGTCAGCCAATACCCACCCAGGGTTGTAGCGCTACGTGATGATGATGATGATGTATTTGCAACCTTTTGTAAATCAAGAATAATTACATCATTTAAAATGTCAACAAAAGCCGGCCTGCACGTAATTATTTTTTCAGTGCAATATGTCATATTTATTGAAAGTCAACATAAATGCTCAATTTTATTTAAGAAATTATATTGTGTGATATGCCCACTGACTATTAGTTTTTTGGTTGCTTTACTGTCATTGACACTCATTGACGGCTTGCCCACACAACTTCAAAGGAGTGTCGCTTCTCTGTGTTCGTTAGTTCTTTGTCAGTGTTTTGTTTGTCTTCATTGGAGAACCATCTCTAAATGAAGCCAAATGTTCGTTTAAAATTTTTGTAAATCTTCGTATCTACGAATAGGAATATATTTTTTGCAAAGTTTGTGTGTTCTTTGTTTGTGTTTTTTTTAAGTTAGTTCTAAATAATGAGTAAACTTCAGTACATAATCATCTTTAATATACTACATATTGAGTTGTAAGTTATAAATTATTAGATATGTATTTCTTATAAACTCTATATCATCTATTGTATTTTAGACAACTGATGAAGCTTTAGAAATATAAAGCGAAACGTCTTCGATAAACTTGATGAAGTAGTTGACTTCTTTTTTTATTTTGCCAACCTGAATGACCGATTAAACCTCTGAATTCACTAGTTGAATACTTTATTAATATAAATTAACGGTCGTAGTCTCTCCGATATATATATATATATATATATATATATATATATATATATATATATATATATATATATATATATATATAACATAAATAATATATAATCTATAAAATATTATTATATATATTTCATTTAAACTAAGAAAAATAAAGCGTTGTGTTTAGAATCATGCCGTATATATATATATATATATATATATATATATAATATATATATATATATATATATATATATAACAGAAAATAATAAATCAAATGAAAACAAAAAGGTACCAGAGTAGGGATGGCGGTTTTGACAAAACACCGGTTTTCGGTTATACCGGGTTTTTTTGCTTACGGTTTAACCTGGCAGTTATAACCGGCCAAAAAAACCGGTTTTTCCAAAAACCGGTTTTTGGTTTTTTAATCCAATAGATTATAAAGTTACATTTACAATGCACTTTAGTTTGCGGTACTACATTCGACTCGATATCAATATGATCAAAATTAGTACTATCGAAAGAACATCAATATCAATGTAAATACAACATAATTGTTTGTGTTTTGTGAGAAAAAAATTCCCCAACAAAAATTTCCCAGAGTCTTTCAAATGGGATTTAAAGAAAATAATATCAACATAAATATTTTACTTAAAAATAAATTGGATAATGCAATTCATCTTTTATTTTTACTACCATCAAAAAAAATTATCATGTATTACTTTTAACTCATCTACGACTTCCGGTATGGGTATAAATCGTTTTGAAAACGTAGGGAAATCCTTGAAGATTCGTATTCGTAATCGGTAATTCGATATTTATAGTCATTATTTTTGGTAATCAGAAAAAGCCGTTCACCCACTTTCAATGTCAAGAGTCAAGTGTGAAAAATAGGTGATGTATAAATACCAGATCAGTTCTTATGTAAAAATATTATGATTACAAATACTTTTTCAACGAAATACTATAATAAAATTTAATTGTTTCTGGCTGATGTGAGCTTGCACCTTCAGTTTGCTTCTGTATTTATAAAATAAAATTAAAATTGAATTTGAGTTTTGTTTTTAATAATTACGGTTATTTCGAAATAAAAAAACCGGTTTTCCGTTAAAACCAGTAGGTTTTTCCCATTCCTATACCAGAGGATATTTACAATGTAGACCATTTCATAAACTTTCTTTAAATTAAATGTGGATTAGCCTATAGAGCGTTGATATTAATCGTTTTAAAGTACTTTATTTAATTTAGTTAGTGATGTATGATGTTAACTTTTAATTATATATATATATATATATATATATATATATATATATATATATATATATATATATATATATATATATATATATACATGAATTTTTTCATACGCAAAGCTTGAAACCGAAGTGAAAGATCAAGTGAACAGAGCCAACAGATCCGCAGGCTTCGTAAATGAAACAATATGAAGAAATAAAAATATCGGGAAAAAAACGAAAGGCAGAATTTACAAAACAGTCATCAGACCAATAATGACATACGCGGCAGAAACAAGACCTGACACAGAGAGGACAAAGAGGATGTTGAAAACAACAGAGATAAAAACGCTTAGAAAAATTGATGAAAAGACATTATGGGACAAAGCTAGAAGTACAGATATACGACATAGATGCAAGGTGGAGAACATCAAAAACTGGGTAAGAAATAGAAGAGTAGAATGCAACGATCATATAAACCAAATGACAACAAATAGAGTAGTAAAGACGGCAAGAGACGGTTTCCCAATAGGTAGACGATCAGGAGGAAGACCACGAAAACGATTTAATGACGTCTTACTCGAGCCAAAGTGAAAAACAGACATAGTCATGTCTATATAAAAAGAAAATGAAGAAGAAGACATGTGAAAAAAACATATGTTAGATTTACGTAATTATCCCAGGATGCCAAGATGCTCTGTTCAGTTCACTATTGAACTTTTTCTACCACAAGAGTCAAACCGAAATTCAATAATAAAAGTTATATAATGAGTTGGTTGCTACTGTGAGTTGATTTCAAACCAAGTTGTAGAAGTAAATTGCACACTTATAGTATATTTGTTGTTCTTGTGGCGACTGCTTTCGACCACTACAGTTTTCTGGTCATCATTAGGTCACCGGTAAATTACAAGTTTAATATACTGAAATGATTACATATTCTAATTCAATCGTATTAAGGTGAAAAATCAGGTATGGTGCAAAAAGTGCCAATATTACTTATATTTGTTAATAGGGGAAACATTTTTTATTGAATAGTAAATTAAAATAAAATAAATCGTACTTACATTCTGGTACAAGGTCTGTTGTTAGGATGGCGTGTACGAAACGCTTTGATGCTGAAGTTTTGTATATGGGTATTTAGATTAATATACATCGACCTGTAAGTGATGTATCTTAAGAAGAATGTCTAAAAGCTACCTTGTATTGTGATTGTTGTGGCACTTTTTGCAACATACCTGATAAAGAGTTTTCAACTTATACTAATATATTCGAATTATAATATTTTGTAATTGTTTCAGCATTTTAAAATTCTACTTGACCATTGACCTGATGATGTAATTTAGTAAAAAAGTCTGTAATTGAGTTCTACAACCTTGTTTAATAAAATTTATATTCAGGAAGTTATTGAAGTTTGTCGTAAGACTACTACATCTAAAATTCATAACGTATTACTAACTATTTTTAAAAATCACTAGAGATAATCCAGCACTCTTTGTATAATGCAAAGCTGTAACTATAAGTATACTTACTTGATGTAAAATACCAACATTTTTGGACGGCACTAAAAATGGTGCGATCTTCTGAGATGTATCTAGAATGGGATCTGTCATATTCCATAAAAAGTTGTAAACAGTGTTGGTTTTAAAAAGCTCCGATTTCAACGATCTCATCATCAAATTTACGCCGACTCTAACGAAAAATGTTGCGTCGTACAAGTAGGAAGCGAGAAACTAAAACAAAAAAAGGTTAATTACAGCTTTATATTAAACTGGGAATAAGCCACAATTAAAGATAAAAATACGTTTATTGACGTTTCAATTTCCACTTCGGAAATCGTTCTCAAAATACAAACAGTAAATTAAACAAATTTTGTTTTTTGTTACATAGTGAAAAATTCTTCTAATAATTTAATTTTATCTGACTCATTTATATTGACAATTCAGACATACATTATGCATTTTAAAGTAGACGACTTTAAAATGATATTGCCAATATTGTTGAGTTGCGCTCCTGGGACGACTTTACTTATAAGATAGTTCATTCGATTACATGAAATCAACTTTAACTTGAGAATATCCGTCAGAAAAAAATCATAGCATGTAATTCGTCTTTAAAAAGACAAACACATGACATGATGACAGTAAAATTCTCCTGTTAGTGATTCCATAGTAAATTATGAGGGAAAAACCAGGAAAAAACCTCATAATACTATCCCGACATTGTAAGTATTTGTTCGTGAATTTAGTTTACCTTCAACAAACATCAAAATTCTGATTTTATATGTTACGTTATTTAAAAAACATAAATGATGTATCCTCTATATGTTACTGACTTACTAATACTGGTATTTTCTTATTAATAACTTCCTCTTTCAATATTGGTAACCAGATCCTACTACATTCTGCCGAGGAATTTGCGACACAATTGGCCTCATTTAGCATAATTAGAGCCGCTTCTTTGATTTTTCTTTTTTTACCATCCGTTTCTTTTAGGACTACATTTGAATTATTCCATTGAACCCTATGTTCATTATCCCATGCGTGTTTACAGATTTGAGATCTATCAAATTCTTTATTTTTAATATAAGATTGATGTTCACTTATTCTAACATTTAATGGCCTTGATGATTCACCTAAATAAAACTGATCGCATTCACAAGGTATTTTATAAATGCAATTCTTTGTCCTTTCTTGTTCATTGTTAGGTTTGGTTTTGGACAAAATAGATCTCAACGTGTTTGTTGTTTTGAATGTTGTTGAAATGTTGAATTTATTTCCTATCCTTTTAAGTTTTTCTGATAGTCCTTTTATGTACGGTATTGTTATTTTCCTCATATTATTCCTTGTGTATGCTGTAGGATCTCGTTCTAAGTTGTTCTGTTCTATTCGATCGATTGTTGAAAATTCCTTATTTATAAACGATAAAGGATAATCATTTTTTAATAAAACAGATGTTAACAAATGTTTCTCCTCCAAGAACGAATTTTCATTAGAACAAGTAATTTTGGCTCTATCGTATAAGGATTTAATTATTCCCTTTTTTACATTAATATTGTGATTTGATTTGAAATTTAAATATCTATTGGTGTGTGTTGGTTTTCTATACACCTGAGTCTCATATCCAGTATCGTTCTTAGAGATTAAAACATCCAGGAAAGGTAGCGTGTTATTATATTCCTTTTCCATGGTAAATGTTATTGTCTCTTCTTTATCGTTTATATCATTTAGGAATGTGTCCAACAACTCTGATCCATGAGGCCATATTGAGAATACATCATCTACATACCTCCACCATACTGTGGGTTTGAAATTTTGTTTAGAGATGATATTTGTTTCAAAATCTTCCATAAATATATCGGCTAAGAATAGAGATAAACTAGAGCCCATTGCTAGACCAAAATTTTGTTTATAGAATTCATTATTTAGTTGAAAATATGTATTATCAGTACATAATGTTAATAACTCCATTATAGCCGATATGTTTAGTCTTGTTCTAGTTGCCAATGAATCATCACTCTCTAATTTTGTCTTGACTATATTTAAAGTCTTATTTAATGGCACATTCGTAAATAAACTATTTATGTCAAAACTTACCAAAGTATGATTTGAATTAAATTCAATATTTGATAATTTATTTAAAACATGTTGTGTATTTTTTATGAATGTGTCATTTTTATTTGTAAATGGTTTTAAAATATTTAATAAAAATTTTGATAGTTCACTACAAGGAGAATTCATGGTACTACAAATGGGTCTAAGTGGTATATTCGTTTTATGAATTTTCGGTACTCCATAAAAATGAGGAGTCTTACTGTAATGAGGTGTAATTAATCCTCTCTGATAACTTGTTAAAACATCTTTAAACTTGAATAAAGTTCTATATATTTTGTTTTCCAAAGACTTTGTTGGATCTTTTGTTAATTTTGTATAAGGTCCGTTTATTAATAGATCTTTAATTTTATTTTCGTATTGAATTTTATCCATTACCACAGTTGCATTACCCTTGTCTGCTGGTAGTATGATTATGGAGTCGTCATTTTTTAAAGTTCTTATAGCCTTTAGTTCCTCTTTGCTTATGTTTTGTTCAATTTTAGTAGATTTTTCCAATTCAAGTTTACATAACACTCTGTATTCTTCCTTTTCGTGGGTTGGTAAGCATTGAGATATTTTCTCCACTGAGCTTATTATGTCTAATTTTGGAACGGATGGCTGAGTAATAGCAAAGTTTAGACCCTTTGAAAGTATTAAATTTTCCGTTGCATTTAAATGTCTATTTGATAGATTGACAACTGTCGCTAATATGTCATCATTTCTATTGAGGTTATCTAAAGTGTGTATACTGTTTTGTTCTAAAAGAATATTAAATTTATTTAAATGTATATTTCTTTGTTTTGTATATGAATTTTCATATACTATATGTAAACTAAAAATAATTTGATCAAAATCAGAATTTGATATCACATTGAAAAGCAAATCTTCAATACTTACAATATCTTGTTCAACAAAAAATAAATTCGATCTATGATATTGTAATCTTTCTCGGATCATGGACAAACTGGCTCTATGTAGGATGTTTTCCAACCTTCTGCTTGAATATGCTGGACGTAACTTCAAGCCCTTTGGTATTAGGTTGTTATCTCTACATCTTCGTAAAAATTTAATTGAATTTTGACAGTGTGCCAGTTTCTTGTATAGAATTTCCAATCTCCTAAAATTTTGAATAACGCTGGGCCCATAACGGTTTCTTAATATTGTTCTGAAGCTATTTTCTTGTGGCATTGTAAATTAATTACTATTAAACTGGGAATAAGCCACAATTAAAGATAAAAATACGTTTATTGACGTTTCAATTTCCACTTCGGAAATCGTTCTCAAAATACAAACAGTAAATTAAACAAATTTTGTTTTTTGTTACATAGTGAAAAATTCTTCTAATAATTTAATTTTATCTGACTCATTTATATTGTATATAAATAATAATATATAAAATTAAATTATTAGAAGAATTTTTCACTATGTAACAAAAAACAAAATTTGTTTAATTTACTGTTTGTATTTTGAGAACGATTTCCGAAGTGGAAATTGAAACGTCAATGAACGTATTTTTATCCTTAATTGTGGCTTATTCCCAGTTTAATAGTAATTAATTTACAATGCCACAAGAAAATAGCTTCAGAACAATACAGCTTTATAAGTATAATTAAAGAGAACTAAGAACAACGTACTTTATTTCTATCGTGTATTTGTAGGTAAATCGAACTATTATTTTTATATTTCTCTTTATCCTTTACATATAGGTCCAGTCTAATAGTATTCTTTCTTGGCCTTCTTGGATCTCTATTTTCAACAATTTTATACTCAAAGATCTTTGTATTTACCCACCAACCGCCTGCATCTTTATACACTTTTATATATCTTCATATGAGTTACCATACAAAGTTAGTAACTTTACTTATAGTAGTAAATCCATCATCATAATATAAAGAGTCAAGGTATTTGGTTTTCGTTCTACTAAGTTTTGGATTTTTTTCTTTGGAAGCGTCTGGCTAGTGTTAGGCCTTTGCCTAATAGTGGGCAGACGCGCAGTGACAGCAGAGTTGCCTCTGCTATTATTATTAGTCTTTCTGGTAACATCGCATCATTATTCTCGTCATTTTATAGATTATTACGTAGAAACTATTACCTTAATATAATTACTACTAAATATACATTTTCCATACCACTGGTCTAAATACAAAATTACACTTACGTTACACAGTTACACAGAATGTGAAAAGCTCTAGATGCAAAACCTGATATATTCACAGACGACTTCGAAGCAAACACAAACATGTTGACGTCATCGAATAGTAATGGAGTCAAATGTACTACGTGGCTAAGGGGCACATCCGACAAGAACATTGAGAGTCGAAAGCAAAATTCATTGTTGTTTACATTGTGTTGCAATAACCTACGTGACTGATAGTAAAGTTATCCGAAGGTAAAAAATCTCAGAAACAATTAAATCAGCATTTAAGCACGAAACTGCAACACGAATTAGGTAGTTTAAAAATACGCCGTAAAACCTACCATTTCTTTATAGTTATTATTTGTAGATATGTTGTAAAATCATTACTGACATTTCCAAAATATGGACATGCCTGTAAACCATATCTACCAGCTATATTAGTGTACATCACTGCTTACTATAAGTGAGAGCGCCCACCAAAGTGGCGTGGCAGTGGCAAGTAGCAAGTAGCACGCGTCTAGCATAATGTAACCAATCCTAACGAATGATTAGAATGAATGACGTTACTGTTATTTTGGTGTAAACTGAATCATTTGTTTTCATTGGTTAGATTATGCTAGACGCGTGCTACTTGCTACTTGCCACTGCCACGCCACTTTGGTGGGCGCTCTCACTAAGGGATATTAAATAATTTTTCAACTTTTTTAGGACAATTTTCTATTAAAACATAATATTTTTTAATAATAATTAATGATATATTATATTATATCATTAATTGAAACCTACATTTCAGTTAAAAGAAGAGATGGTTTGTAAAACTTGATTGTAAAGATAAAGATAACAGTTCCGTCAATATCCCTTTAGCCTTAGATCAAACTAACTTTGCCCTAAATACTACTAAAAACTCTACTCATGGACCTAATAATATACCTTTAATATTTTTGGAAAAAAATGTTAGACAACTCTAAGTGTGACTTTATAACAATTTTCAATAGAATATAGT